CCTCGCTCAGCCAGTGAGCGGGAACCGGTCTGTATGTGGGATCCGAACCCTCGGCAGGGAGCGCCGCTGCGCTCTCAAGCGGCGCACTGTAGCAGTGTGCCACCGGGCCAGCCCTGTATTATCTTTTAATTCTATTTTTTCACGAACTTTTTAAAGTACCCCGATATATCTTTGTTTCAGGGGATTGTACATTTTAGGTTTTTTTGAACCCTCATAAAGGCAGTATATAAGCAAAGATTTTCTTTATCTCCTGTCTTAGTCTGTTTTCTGCTGCTATGATAGAATACCATAGATTGGGTCATTTATAAACAATAGAAGTTTATCTGGCCCACAGTTCTGGACACTGGGAAGTCCAAGAGCATGGCACCAGCATCTGGTGAGGGCCTTTGTGCTGTGTCATCCCGTGGTGTAAAGCAGAAGGGCAGGAGAGGGAGAGTACAAGAGGGAGCTGAACTTGCTTTTATAAGCAATCCATTCTCTCAATGACTAATCAATGGATGACATTAATCCATTCAGGATCTTATAGGAATGGTTTGAGAAATGAATGAGTGAATGAATGAATGTTTTATTTTCTTGGTTTAAGAGAGTTAGGCTTTAGAGTTGAGAATCCAGTAGCTGTAGGTCTTTTCATCTTGTTGGATATTGTTTTGTGAGGAAGAGAGTTTGGAATGTGTGACTGTGATCTGGGTTCCTGAGAAACAGAAAAATATTATATTTAAAAAGTAATTAATAGTGTACGAGAAAAACGTATCAAAGAACATTTCATTAGGCTTTTCTTGGTGCAGTGGTTTCTCATGTGTTAGCAGTGTGGATGATGGGAGTACAGTGTGCTCATGAAGAATGCAATGCTTTCCCCAACCTCAGCTAACAGGAGTACATTAGCAGTAGCTAGGAAATAATATGAAATGCATTTCTTCAAAAAGTGTAATTTCATAAAAAAGATTTAATGGTCAAGAACAATTATATTGAGTTAAATTTGTATATTCACTATTTTGGGGTCCCACTATGTAAGAATTGTCATTGCAAGTTCAACAATAATGTTTATTTGTTTTTTAATATAATAATAAGTGCTCTAGGCTTCATTACATTATGTTTCATATACTTTGTTACACTAACTTTATCAAAAATATGTGCAATTAGTCGGGACTTAAAAGTCTTGTTTGATTTACTTAAGAAAGATTAATAAATCTGTTTATTTACTTTAAAGCTTCAGAAGAAAGAAGATCAGCAATTGGAGCCTAAAAAAAGTACTAGTCCTAAAAAAGCTGCAGAGCCCACTGTTGATCTTTTAGGACTTGGTAAGTAATAAAAAATAAAAGCCATCATTAGATGTACAAAACAATTGAAGCCTTTACTTGAAATGAATATAATGGCTTTATCTTTAGTATTCCAAAAGATGTCTGTTAACTGAATTTTAAAATGCTATGATTAGTTTGCTGAGTTCCCACAAAAAAGGAAATCTTTAATAAGGGAGCCAGTGTCTGTCAGCACTGTCTTCACTAAAATAGAAGTAATGAGTTCCGTGGGGAAAAGGAGATATCAAAGTAATCTTCAAAGGCTTGGTAGATGTGACATTTCAGCATTTAAAATAAAGAGTGGGTTCTTTCTCTCTTCGATTTTTTCTTAGTTTTATGGGGAAAGTTTCCCCTTAACAAAATAATTCTGGGGTAGCCTTACTGTAAAATGTGCTGGTTTAAAATAAAATTTTATTTTGGTTAATTGAAGCGAGGTGTTTTATACCTAAATCTACTGGCTAGATTTGTATCATATATCTGATGACAGTGAGAAGTGCTCATTTTAATTTACTGTCCTATTCTCATGGCTAACATATATGTTGTCTACATGGTAAGTAAACAGGCTTTCATTCAAGGGGTGCTTATATTGTGCTTATCTACAAATATTGTTAGCTCCTTTTTACGTTTTTCTCCTCTTCCTTGTAAAAGAATTGGCCTTGTAAGTCGTTATTTTTATTAATATTTGAGCCTTGGAGTTTACTTAATTAAAAAAAATTTTTTTTAGTTTGGAGAAAGATTGACAATTAAAGAAAAAGAATGAAAAGTTAGTTGAACTTCATACACTGCTATTAAAATAATTGATCTTAGTTCTTATTGAGCAAATTGGTTTTTGGTTTAAGAAATATAGTTGAATGTTTTATTCATTTCTTAGGAAGTTGGTATGTCATACAGATATACTCCCTGGAGATAAAGTTCTATGATGGTGAAAAGTAGTATATTAGAAATATAAAAAATAACTGTAATTTTGAAAATAATGCATCAGTCCAGGGGCTCTAAATATAATTATATTGAATTCTAGTCCTCATAATTTCTGTATTTTATTTCCTTTGCTGTAGCTGAGAGAAAAGAAAAAAAAAAATGATTTATTACCAAAGTAAGAAAACATCTTACTAAAGCTGTATTCTTCTTTGTCTTCACTGCAGCATTTCTTTTCTAGTCTAAGTGCCTGGTTTATTAGTTTATAAGCTAGAAATGTAAGATATAACTAGACCTGATTTTTATCCTACAGATCCATTCATTAATTTTAACAAATTTTGACTGTCCTACAATGTTCAGGCACAATTGTAGGCATGAGGAAGTTAGCTCTGAAAGAAGACAGATAACAATCCCTGTCTTCTGGGAGCTTTCATTCTATCTGGGGAGACAATGAATAAACAGTTAAGTAAAATATATTATAGGCCATATATGGTAAGTGCTATAGATAACACTTAAAAAAAAAAACGAAAACAAAAATGGGTAGTTAGAATTTTAAATAGGGCGGGCAGGGAGGGGCTCACAGAGCTGTCATTGGAACAAAGACCCGAAGAAGGTGTGGATATCTGGATATGTGGACATGAGCATTCCAAATAGAGAACAGCAAATTCAAAGGCTCTTTGGCAGCATCCTACTTGAAGTGTGCGAGGACCAGCTAGGATGACAGTGTGGCTAGAATGAAATGACCTAGGGGTGAATGGAGACAGAGGACATATGGAGGTAAGGGGTGAGGGGAGGGGCAGGCAGATTGTGACAATGGCTTTTACTCTGAGTTACCTGGAACAACACTGGAAGGATATGCAAAGAAGTAACAATCTGACTTCAGTATTTAAAGAATTATTGTGGCCACTGTGCTGAGAATAAATTGTAGCAGGGCAAGGCTGGAAACAGGCAGACCAGTTTGGAAATTTTTGCAGTAATACAGGTGGAGAGATGATGATCGCTTAGACTGGGTGGTGGGATTGAAGGTTATAAGATGTAATCAGTTTCTGGATATATATTGAAGATAGAGCCAAAAGGACTTGCTAACCAATTGAATATGAGAAATGAGAGAAAAGGGTGAATTGGGGATGGCACAAAGTGTTTTTAGCTTGAGCAGTAGAGGGATGGAGTTGCCATTTACTTTGATGGGGAAGTCTGCAGGAAGTCTGGATAGAAGATCAGGAGTTTTGTTTGGGTCATATTGATTGAAAGGCTTATTAGACCAAAAAAGTCTAATTTTAATAAAAGGAGTTCTTAATTAGGCAGTTATATGAATTGTGATTTTAGGGAGAGATCTGGGCTGTGAATGTAAAACTGGAAGTCATCAGCATATAGATTTTTTTAAAATTATGAAACTGGAGGGGGTTCACCAAAGGAATGAATATAGACTGAAGAGAAGAGGTTCAGGTGCTGCGCTCTATGACACTCATATGTTTAGAGGTCAGAGAGATAAAGAGACCCAGAAAGGTGACCAGAAAAGAGTGAATGGTGAAGTAGGAGGAAAACCAGTACCCTGTGGTGTCTAACATGGAAGCTAAGTCAGGTCAGAATTTCTGTATTAGTCAGAATATGGCCGATATGCTGTGGTAACAAACTTCCCCCAAATATTGGTAGGTTACAGAACAAAAGTTTATTTCTCACTCATGCTGTGCCCATCTGAAATTAACTAATGTTCTGCTTCACATCATCTTCACTTCAGTATCCAGACTGACAGAGCAGTCTCTATCTAGAATAAGAGTTGGCAAACTTTTTTTACAAAGGCAGAAAGTGAGTATTTTAGGCTTTGTGGGCCATAAAATCTCTGTCATAACTACTCAGCCATAGATAATACACAAATGAATTGGCATAACTGTGTTCCATTAAGACTTTATTTACAAAAAAGTCAGAGGGCCAGATTTGTCCTTCAGGCCATAGTGTGCTAGAACACTGCTGATCATTATGGCAGAGGAAAAAGAGCACATAGCAAATCACATGTCAGCTCTTAGAGGTTATGTTTTCAAGTTATGTTTATCATTTGCACTCACATTTTACCGGTCACATCATTATACAGGCATGCTTTCATTCAGCAGGAGGATATACAGTCATTCTACAAGGAGATTTCACCAAATATTTGTGAACAGTAATACATACCAAGTGAGAAAGAAAGTGTTTTGGAGAGGAGGGATAAGCATTGTGTCAAATGTTTCTGACTGATGAAGCAAAATGAAGATTGAGAATGAATCATTGGATTCAGCATCATAGATGACAAGAGTAACCTTGGAGTGGTGAAGTGTAAACATGATTGATGTGGGTTCAAGAAAGAATGGAAGCAGAAGAGTAGCCTTGAATATATACAGCTCTTTAGACAAGTTTTGCCATGAGTAGGGGAGAGGGATGGAGCAGTAGTTGGAGGAGGATGTGGGCAGGAAAGGAATTTTTTTAAAGGGTGACATTACAACATGTTTATTGTTGGGAATGAACTTGTACAGCAGGCAAATCTGATAATTTAGGACAAGGAAAAATTGCTATGCAGTGTCCTCAAATAGCCAAGAGGGGATGATATCAGTAGACAAATGGGATGACTGCCCTTTAAGATATTTACCTATTGTTGCAATAATGCTGCATAGTAAGTAACCCCCAGGTCTCAACAGTTTACCACAGTAAACATTTATTTCTCTCACCGTCTACATATCAGCTAGGGGAGCTCTGCCTCAACTTCATTTGATACATTTTCTGCCTTCTAGGTTATAGCAGGGCACTGTTTAACACTGTTTGTATATCTAAGTAACCCCCAGGTCTCAACAGTTTACCACAGTAAACATTTATTTCTCTCACCGTCTACAGGTCAGCTAGGGGAGCTCTGCCTCAACTTCATTTGATACATTTTCTGCCTTCTAGGTTATAGCAGGGCACTGTTTAACACTGTTTGTATATTGTGTTTTCATTTTTCAAGTTTCTATAAGTGTTTTCTTGTCTTCTACCATCTAGTTTCAAAGTTAGTACCACAGATTTGGTATTTATGTTATACATATATATTTGGTATATGTTAGGTTTTGGTTATGGCAGCACCACTCTTTGGTATCAGCTTCTATAACAGTCAACTATAGCTGCCTGTGCTACATACCAGACAACTCCAAAATCTCAGTGGCTTGCATCAACTAACATTTATTTCTCTCATTCTTGTGTCTGTGGGTCTTCTGGTCCAGCTGTCTCTTAGACAGCGGGAGAGCTTCAGGAAATAGTGTCTTCAGGGGAGAACCAAGGTTCATTTAGGGCCAGAAGGTGAAGGTAATATTTGGAGAAGAGGTTAAGGATATATAGGCGATTTTGTCAATGACTGATGGTGGGTTTTAGATCATACAGTGGAAGGGTTCTAAAGCTGGGAGGGGTGGGAGATGGGTTCAGAAACAGGGCTGTCTTGCTGATGGAGCTTTAGCAACAGGGAAAGGGGAAGTGTTTTACCCAGCACATACAACTCTTCACACTGCTGGTTGTCAACATCCTAAATTCTTTTAAAAACTGTTTCAGACTTTTTTATAAAAGTGTGTTAAGTATAAGATTTGATGAGTTCATGAAAGTCCAAGAGACTTACAGAGAATCAGAGGTCTCTTTCAGCTCAAAACAAACAGTGTTCCTAACTCTGGATTGATTATTGGTGTCTACTTTGGGAAGCAGAGTATTTTTCTGCTCAAGAGCATGCCACTCTTCCCTAATGGGACTCGTGTTTTCCCCTGTAAATTCAAACACATTGGGGATTTGGATGCAGGTGCCTTGAAGTATGATTTATGGTCATGCAAAAATGACAGTATATCCCCACATGAATGAGACCAGAACAAGCATTAACTTAAAACATGTACAGAAAATACAGAGAAAACCACCACAGAGATAGTTCAGTTACACAACCACATGGATCATGGCCTTCTGGATCACTCTTAATAGATTATTTTTTAGAAATTCAGTCTTCCCTTTAAATGGGACTTTGGTGACCCTACGTTCTTTTTTTCAACTGGTAATTCATGTTAAACCTACCTTTTTCAGCTCACCTTTCTTGATATACTGCTCCTCCAAGG